TGATCGAATGAATTTTCGCGTCCATATTTTTTTCGATCATCCACGAATCGTTATCAATTAATCGTTATCATTTGAATCTGTGATTTAAATGAATTCTCCTATTAGAAATTTCGACGAGTCAGAATCGTTCGTATCAATTTTGGTAAACCGTTTCGTAAATCATTCACCAATTATCGGTGGAAATTAATTTAAATAATTTATTTCACGCGTGCGATGGACAAGTGTCGTTAAAAACCTTGGACGACGAGTCGCTCGACGTATTGTTATTATTCGAATCGTCGTTAAATTGGAACGAATATTTTTATTGAACAACGAACGAACTATCTGTTTCAAAAGTAGTTTTAAAGATGAATTTTATCTCGAAAAAAAATTCTTCCTTCTTCATCCCTCCTTGTCATCCCCCTTATAAATCATTTTCAACAAGATTCTCAGTTGTGCACACGAGGTCGTGTTTTTCGAACGAAATTCGAATGAATTATCCGAGGGGAGGAGGATCGGATCGTGGGGCATCGATCACTCGACAATGGATTACTTATTCGCAGCATCCACCTTCCGCAAATTCTAAGCCCTCGTTTTATTCAGCCTCACCACGTTTATCACGTTCCTTTTTATCGCACGAGCGAGCTACGATCATTGAGCAATCCACCTCTCACGTGTTGATAGCACAACGTTCCACCGTAAACTGAGCATCGCGCGTGTATAATGTACACACACGCGTACGACTCTCTCCTTGATAGAGGGGAGCGTTTATAAATACGCGTAATATTTATTTCTCCTTTCGTTCGAATTTCTATTTACGTATTAAGTCGTATTGGAAAGCGATACAATGTCTCGATATTTAACACACGTAATATTTTAATTATATTATATCGCGAAATATATTGATATTAATATATATATATATATATATTTGTACAATATTGTTTTACGATATAAAAAATTGTAAAATATTTTGCGGAGGCTTAGATATCATTAAAAAGTTGAGTATGATTCGTTAAAAAAATCTAGAAATATATATATATATATATTAATTTTTTTTAAAATTGATGAAAAATACGTTTCGTTAAAAAATTTTAGAATATCGTTTGTGGAGAACAGAATCTCGTAAACAATCTCCAAGAAAAGAAAAACAGGAAGATATTTTAATAAGAATCGTGGAATTTTCTTCGAGCACAGTGCGATAATTACTCATTTTTCTAACGTTAATCCTTTAATTCCAACTCGCTGGAAATACGTTAACCGTGTTATAATAACCGTGTTGTAATAACGAGGGGCCGACCCCTCCTCGCTTCAACTTCGAAACTCTATTTCGCACTTTTTCCATAAAAATTCAACCTCGATTTAATTGCAACTGAAATTAAACGTAATCACACAATTATCCCTCTCCCTCTCGTTCCCTCCATTAACCCTCGAGCACGCTCTTGCGAAATGCTTTTAACCCTCGCTTCGAAAAAAATTTCGTGACTAAATTCAAACGGTACCGATGATTCTCCACTCCATCCCTCAAAAAAAAAAAGAAAAAAAGAGATGAAGGATCGCAGATAAACTGGAATCCTCAACGGGAGCAATTTCTATTTCGTCCAATTACGAAACGTAACGCTGTGCACAAATCTGATTGTCTTCTATCGCTATCGCGAGGAGAAAAATTTATACAAAGGGAAAAGAGGGAATTTTCGGGCCTACATGATACTCCTTTCTATTTTCCAACCGATCCCTGTCTCTCCCTTCCCCTTATCTCCATACAGAAATCACGATTCCTTCGTCCCCTCCTTTCGAAATTGGTGGCTTCGTCTCGTTTCACACTTTCCCCTTTACCCTCTTTATCGACGATTCCTACGGTTTCCGTGGGCAAATATTGGATCGGGAAAGGGGAGGAGGATCGGCCGCATTTTCTCGATATCTCGAGCAGAAATTGCTCGAGAATGGGTACAAGACGAACAAAGGAAATTCGGCTCTATGATCTAATCTCGGTTTGGATATTCGGATGCGTGGAGATTGACGATAAGGGGGCAATCGGTTCTTCGATTGATAAGGAAACGCAGGGATAATGTATGTACGCGGTTGTTGATAAAGCTACCGTGACAGGGATAAATTGCAATTGAGACTGCGATGGACAGTTGGGAGAACGATATGTTAATGCATGTGGGGAGGGGGTTTGTCGTCTCGTCGATCAAACGTTGGATTAAAGTTGTCGCATTAGTTGTTACGTGGGATGTTTTTGTTGCTGGAAATTAATAAATGAATGCAAAGTATGATGTTTATAGTTTTGAGAAAAATTTTTGATAATCCTCGTTAAGGGATGAATTCGTTGATCCTTGTGATTGATCATTGTGAAAATAATAGAAGTAAAATGCAACATTTATGACAGGATTTTCTTTGTTAAGGATTTTAAGTTTATGGGAGGAGTTTAAGTTGTTATGAGACGTAGAGAAATATTTTGTTTCGTAAATATAGTGCAATATTTATGAGAGGATTGAAAATTATGTAACATTTTACGGAGTAAAAACTATTTTCTTATCTTCTTGTTAAATGAAAAAGAGTACAAGAAAATAAATATTACAAAATAACATTTTATAAATCTATACAATTTTTATCAAATTCAATGTTTTGGTTTAAAATTTTGATTTAAAATTGACACGGAATTAAATCTGTTCCCGATATTGAATAATATTAAAAAACGAAATTTCGATGTTCGAGGCGAATATTTTTTTTTTTTTTTCTAAAAAGGAAAAATTAAATTTCTCTAATTCAGAGGAAAAGGGGAGGGTGAAAAATTTTGAGAATAAAGCATGGAGATCGGATCAACGATTTTGCCAATTCGTTACGCGAAACAAGATGAGCAAAGTAACGAATGTGGCCGAGGGTCAAGGCTTGTACGATCAGTCCACCGTTCCACAATTTCGTAAAACAAATTGGAAAATGTCGTGTCTATGTGCTTTGACGAGCAACGATTCTGCTCGGCCACATCTCTAAGATAATTGCCTATTCGCCTCTCGTTACACTTAATAATTTCGATTCGGAAAAAAAATTCGAAAAAAATCGCCTCTCCCATTTCCTCCATTTTTTTCTTCTCGACTTTATTTAGCACTTGACTCGACTCGTGATCTTAGAGATTCCGTACACGCGTTTCTTCGTTTCCTTCCGCGCGACTTTTCATTCAGATCATCTCTGTGGATGATAACCTTTGTCAATATAATCGTGCAAAATTTATATTTTGTAACATTTCCATAACCATGAAATCCTCTCTGAATGAACAAAAAAAAAAAAAAATGGAATTTCGAATGGAAAATCTAGCATTATTTATAACTTATGAGATTTCTATTTTTCTTTCTTTTTTTCTCACAATAATCTATTATTTATTCGAATTTGTATTTTCACTGGCACAATCATAGATTCGATACATATTAATAATAATAATGATAATACGCATTATAATTATAATATAATAAGCATTTCACTTCAAATATTTTATGTACACGTGTTTGCACACGCCCCGCGGACTTTCGTATCTACAATTAAACTTCTCATAAATGCATAAACACCCGCTGTCTATGTTGCACGCATCACACGAGCAATTTTGCATAATTCGTTCCCTCGTGAACAGCAAATGTGCCTCGACCACGCAGAACCACGTTTTTCTCATCAAAAAAAAAAAAAAAATCACTTCAACCAGTCGCTGGTCGAAACGAGATCAATATAACGTATTTTCTCATTGATAATTCCTTAAAAAAAAAAAAAAAAAAATACGTTTTACCTCTTCGAAAAAACTCAAACGATTTTCCAAACCATGACAAAATTCGAAAAAACAGAGAAAGAAAAAGAACGAATGTTATCCGGTCGACGGCATTCGGACCGGATAACATTCCGAGCGAACAACGTGGAATAATTTTCCACGTTTTGCCAATTTTTGTTTCGAAATTCTCGAAAAGTTTTCGAGGGTAATTAATCGGCGAAACAAGGAAGAGGAAAAGAAACTCGGATCCGCGTGAAATTAATTTCATCAGGGAAAATCGCGGAAATTATGCGGCTCGAAAAGCTGTTCGACCCACCCATCCTCGTAATCCGCGAGTCTCACGTTTCGAATTGCGGCGAGAAGATTGTTTTGGGAAGGATTCAAAGGGGTATTAAATCGCGCGTGCGTGAAATGAACGATCTAAAAAAGAAAAAAGTCGGAGATTATATCGTGCATTTTTCCATCCAGTTACGAGGCTCCCTCTCCCTCTAACCCGGATACCTGGATCTCGAATTAAATTCGGATTAAACGTGCTGTCAGATTTAATAGGATTCTCTCGACCGAGTGTTTGATGCAAATTAGTTTACCTTTCAATTGGAATACCTTTGCTTCGGATAAACAGGCTCTGATTGGCCGCGCAAACATGTATTCGAACAATATCTTGTCAGAGGGAATTTATTTAATTCTGGTTTCAATGAAAATTTCCGGATGATAGGAACGATTTGTTGAAAATCCTTTCTTGAGTTAATTTCAAAGCGATACTTTCCTTCGAAGAATCATTCGTTTCAACCAGTTGTTCCAAGAAAAATAGAAAATGTGTAATAATTTCTTTCGAATATTTCTCTTTTTTCACTGGAAGATTTTTTTCAAAATTTGAAAACTCGTATTGTATTCGATGTTTCGTTATATCTTGTAGGATTTTATAAAGTTTAAAAAATAAAAAAATAAAAAAAATAAATAAAAGCACGTCGAAAGTTTAAGTCCTCGTTATATATCCACTTTCGATATTATTTGATTTTTGTTTTCGAAGAAATCAAATGTTTTCAAACACCTTGGCAAAATCAAACGTATACGTAGAAAAAGATGTACGTACCACTTGACCCATAGGAGAACAAATCTATTCTCGACTTAATTAGACGCAATGGCGAGTCCTTGGCCAATTAGCGTCATTCTTAATTAAAAGAAAACAATAGGAAAGAATCTCGAGAAATTCGAAATATAAAAATATTCCTCGCAATGTCAAACGGAGGACGTGACTTCTTCTTTCAATTTTAATTTCGTTGCGCCTTAATGATACCATTAGAATGTGAACGGATTTAGGAAATGGTCGTTTGGCCCGAACAGCGGGGCGGATAATGGTAATTCCTTTTGAGAATGCGTAAACTTTAATAACGACTGCAAGAAACTTGGAGAAGGGTCCGATGAAGGGCTGGAATACAGCTGTATTATAAATAATCGTTCAACTGTCGAGCGCAAGAGCAATTCTGCTATCCACTGGGCTGGACATCTACGAGCAGTTTGGAAAATGGCGGAGATTTCGTCGGTGAGATTGGCTCGATAGGATAAATTTACTTTCATAATTCTGTTCTTAAATCTATCTTGCTGTTTACTCGATAATCCGAACTTTTATATCCACCACCTCGATGGTAGATATTCCCTTTCGCCTATTTCTCCTCGTATTTCTTCTAAATTGCCTAGAAAGTCTGCCATAATTCAAGGAATAATATATCGCGGTACTAAAAACGAGAGAGGAGAAAAAGTATAGGAGAGAGAAGAAAAAAGAGAGGATTTGGCTGTTTATAGACTCATCGGTAACCCCATCTAGCGAGCACTCGCCCCCGGGCATAAAAGGAGTTAAATCAAAAGACGTATGAAGTACGAGACCAAGAAGAAGAAGAAGAAGAAGAAGAAGAAAAAAAAACGTTCATAAAATACGTACCATCCGTAAGAAAGCGTGATATATTTATTTCTCCGAGAGAGCCACGCTCCCAACACTTTAATACAGTCACTTTTATAAAACACTTTCTTCCGTCCATCCAACGTCGTAAATACCAATTCCCAAGACAGCCATGATTCCCTTGTTTTCGCGAAACAAACCGAAAATTTCACCTCTTCTACTTCGCAAAAGAAAAAAAAAAAAAAGAAAAACGATAATTCTTCAAGAACAAGTCGATCAACAATAAAAGAGATCCTTGCAAATTCTTTCTTCTCGATGCGCCATGAAAAACGAAAAGAAAAAAATCTCCGCTCTCTGCGGATTTATCTCGCGGACGAGCGAAAAAGATCTCGAACACTTCTTCCTTTTAATTATTGTTATAATTAGTCTCTCGAGGGAGGAGGGTTTGCAAAATCCTCCGATAACGTCGCACGAGATGTAATAAACCGGGTGGTATAAATTTCGGCGATGATGCACGAACCGTCTGTTTCCCCGTCTGCTCGTAAACTCGAGACGAGGGTTAATTAAATCGAGGGTGGCGGGGCCCGAGTTTCGGGTGTTTTTCAATTTTACGAGGAAACTTTCGAACTGCCCGATTTATACCACACGACTCCGTCGTTGTCACGCGGTTGGCGTGACTCGTGCCCGTGATTCTCCCTCTCTCTCTCTCTCTCTCCTCGTAAAATATCGTCGTCGGGGCCAGATTAACATCTCGACGACCAGATAACGCGGGGAAATTTTCGGGGGGTGGCACGAAATGATAATCAGCTCGGCCGCGATTCTTCTCGTGCCGCGTCCCAATTTGACGGATATAAACGAGATTTGAGATAACGTGCAAATTCAATCATGAAAAATTATTGAGACGTTACACGGTTTGCACGATAAGCGAAACGAAACTTGTTCTCCGTTCCTGTTTAATCTCGTTTTCATCAATATCGAATCGGTTAAAATTAAATCTATTAAATCTTCGAAGGCCTATGATTTTGGACGAATTTTTCAAACGATCTTCGAGAGAACGTATAATAGTTGGAATAAATTTGATATAAAAAGTGTCATCCTTGAATAATAACTTTAAATCGTGTTCATCGATCCTCTCCAATGATCCTCTTCCATGGTTTTCATCGCCCTTCGAACGACTTCTTCTTTCTCTCTTTTTTCGAGACAGGAGAAAAAAGGTTGTCCATGTAAAAATTTACGATTATTCAATAGTCAGAATCGTACGAATGATCCACGCCAGGGAATACAAAACTGGGGGGGGGGGAGGATGGGTCTCGAGCACGGATAGTTTCGAGAAAACTTTCGACCAATATCGGAACGCGATACGCCATTAAAAGGGATACCGGCCGGCTCCCATAGCATCGCATTGATTCGCGGTGTAATCCGGCGGAAGCACGAAATATCTGACCGAAACTCGGGCAACAAACGGCCGATTCTCCCTGTATCCATCCAATGGGGAGTTTTGCCAGGGAATTGCCGCTACACTGTTTCTCGATAACCTCGTTCGCCTCGTTTAAACGCGTTTCGTTAGTTACCCGCTGCGTGACGCGTTGTAACAGAATCGAAACTCGATCGAAGCTCGATCGAGACGCTCGTTGACCGTCGTCGCCGATCCTTCGTTAACTCGCTTGTTTATCCTACGCTCGCAGCCCCTGCCAGGATAGATTAGGTAGCCAGCTTCTAAATGAAAATTCCATCCCCTTGTCGTCGATCCACCCTCTCTTGTCCCTTTATCTCGTTCAACTCGATCGACAGTTTTATGCTTAGAAAATAATTTCGTTTCACGATCGTTGCGATTCAATTTGAGGAATCGGGAAACGAACGTCGTCCACTCGTCGATCCACTTCGATTCGAGTAATTTTCTAATTCGATTTTGCTTTTCTATTTTCATCCTTCGAGCATGCTTTTAGATTCACTTATTACTTTCGCCTCGAGAAATATCCTCATTTTACAATTGTTGCGATTCAATGTTGGAAAGGATCGTGATGATTCGCACGTGAAAAAGTTGCAAAAGAAAATAAATTATTGGCAGAGTGATACGGTCCACGTGGATAACAGAAACTCGATCGTTCGGGAGTAGATCGTATCGGCGGCGATAACACGAGAAAAGAAACTGGGCAAGAAACGCAAGAAGAAGGAGGAGGAGGAAGGGGCGTGTATCTGAAAGGATGGAACGCGGAATTCCACTCCATAAAGTTCTCTTTTTCTTGTGCGGATCGCGTGCAAGAAACGGGTTCCGATCGGGTGCTGGCAAGTAGAACGATAGCTGGAAAATCATAGGGAAAACTCGAAGGGAGACCCGCTTCCTCTCTCCCCTTTTAATCCCCTCAGCAAGCTTGGAAGAGGGGAGTGAAAGAAATGAAAAAAAATGAAGATACACCATTCGAATCAATAAAATATAATTCTTCCATTTCGAAATATTAGTTCGGATTTCGGGGAAAAAAGAAATGAAAGAATCTGATGAAAGACTCGTTCTTCTAGTTTTAATAAAATAGAAAAGAAGTAGATCAGGACAATTTACAAGAATTAAATCATTTTTCATAGTATTTTTGTATTAAAAAAAGAATTGCTTAAGGAAATGGTTTCTTTATACTAACGAAACATTGGAAATAAATTTAATACGATTCTTAAATAAATAAAGATCGTTTCGTTTAAATCGCGTATATCTATTGTAATTTTCGTCCAATAAAATTATTACTCGAAATATTGGAAATATTTACGTGCGACGATAACCTATTTAAGATTCCCAGGAAACCGATGATCGAGCGTTTATTCGAATCGTGTCTATAACGCGGAACATGTATGAACTACGTGTACAGGGTATATATTGGGGGAGAACAATTGCGTGAAATATGGATCTTCCGTGTAATTATGATTGGCCTGTTAATATTAACCAATGCTTGATTAATAGGAGTGCATTTACAAATTTATCGCGATCCACCAGGTTCGCATACGTCGAATAAAAACGTGTTGGCCACATATCATGGCGAGATCCCATTTGCCAAACTTCTCGAGAACTTATCGAGAATAAAATTCCATTTGCACTTCGACGGTGGTGATACTTTAATATCGGATTAGTGTCAAAAGTTTAAGGAATAATCGAGAAATATCGATAACGTATGAATTTCCGGATGAATTTTCCCGCTCCTTTAAGATTGGATCATAGCAGAAATATATCGGATGAAACTTCATTTAACTTTTTATATAAATGTCCATCCACCTGATTTATGAAAATTTATATCTATCATCCGAGTAAAATTGGATAGGATAAATCGTCGCTTGAAAATACGCGGAAAAAATGTTTTAAAGCTGAACTTCAGATTCAGATCTATCAATAGGCGAATATCTTTGTTTCGAATTTATTTTGTCTCGATATTATTTCGTTTAAGAGTGAGATTAAATTCTCGTTTTAAGAACAGTAACGGTACATTTTCCGATTAATTCGATCGACAATGTTAATTGCATTGCAAAATTGATATTCTTTTTTTTTTTCATCATCCACATTATTCAAAATAACATTCCACGTGTCATAATAAATATTCAAAATTTTACGATATTTACATAAAATTGAAATTCTTTCAGCGTCAGTTCGACACGATTATCTCAACACGATCGAGCAAGCAAATATTCCACGTAACGAATATTCGATTTCTACAATTACACTATTTAAAAGTCGCGATATCTTTCTCAATCGACGCATTATCGACCAAATATCATCGAGATGTTAAATTATACGTGGTCGAGTCGAGTAAATATTCAACGAAAAATCTACACGAAATTGAAATTCTTTCATCGCCAGTTGACGCGGTATTTCAAGATCGAGTGACATCCTGCGATATTTACAGGAAATTGTCGATTCTTTCATCGACATCAGTCGACACGTTATCGGAACATCGTCCGGATAACGTCTCACAAAATTCCGAAATATCTTCATTCTGTCTTCGTTATCGATTCGCGTCCATCTTCCGAGTCTTATGCAAATCGATGAACGCGACATCGAGTACGAATACTCACTCCACGAGCCCTCGACCCGATATAGATTTCGGCCCCGCGACAATCCAGTTTGCACGAGCGTATATAGCGTCGAATACGTCGGATTCGTTCATGAATTATTGATACGGTTATCGCGGAGTCGAAACACCGCTGCCTTTCACCGCGGCTGAAACAAAAAGGAAAAAAAGTCGCGGAAAATTAACGATTGTCGCCCCGCTTAATTAAATCTCACCACGAAAGAATGTTTTTTAATCGGCTCGCAAAACACGTTAATTTTCCTCCCATGCAATTCCTCGTATTCCATTTTAATCGAATCAAATCTTGCGATTGATTTATCGCGGTTCCATCCGTGCCAAGGTTTATTTATCTTGGAAACTTTGGAATTTCAAAATTTACACGTATGATTATGGTATTCGAGCAAATTGAGGTATCTTCGAGACGAGGCTAAGATCAACTTTTAATCGGATCATTTTTAGAAATCGAAGGAAGAAAGAGTATACAGTTGATACTTTTGATATAAATATCAAAACTCGTATAATTAAAGAGTTAAAATAGAAACTATTAGAAAAAAGAAATTAATAAAAATTAGAAAGATTATCGATAACCAACCTCACCATTTATTTATTTATATTAAATTCAGAATTACTTATTTGCATAGGATTAACGAAGGTACGTAGAGTTATTTAAAATAAAGAGACGAAAAACCACTGAGATACTCGACAAAGTAAACGAAAAGGGGGAAAAAAAGAACGTAACAAAAAGATGTCGTCCAAGTTGAACGAATCCAAAGGGAGCGAAGGGATTCCTCAACTTCCATTCCCACCGCCAGGTTTCTTCCCTTTCCTGGGGGAAGAAAAGACGGGCGAAAAACAAGAGCAAGGTACACCGTTGGAAACCGCGGGAAACGAAGTCTGCAGCCTCGAAACAGGGAAAGAAAACATCGAGGTAAAAGTTCGTTCGTCGAGGGACGAATTATCCTCTTCTCGAGGCCGTGGTTTATCGATTCCCGATCGATCGATCGAGCTTCCGGTTTGATAGACGCGCACAGATATTCCAAACGATGGTGGGACGATGACGCATCCCTGCCGATATATATCATTCGTCCATTCGTTATGTGACAGCGCTCATCAATGTAACGATTCCACGCTGCGTTACATTTGAAAAGAATTAATGAACGTCACGCCATTTTTTCCTTTCGGCCATCTTGGCGAGTCGCGATGAAACGAGATGGCGCCGAGTGATGCGGCTAATTTATCTTGGATCGCTACTTTTTGCGCGTTTTCATACATAAATTCTGCTTTATCCGATGTAACAGTTGCGTTTCTTTCCTTTCTTTCTTTTTTTTTTTTTGTGAAAGGAGAGAAGTGTTTCAGATTAACGATTCGTTGTGAACTTGGGAATAGAATATTATTGTGCAAAGTTGCTTGAAACGGAGTTCTAAATTTGTAAATTTGCAATACATTTCATTGGTCAAGAGTTTTTTGTATTTATGATGCGATATCGTAATCACAAGAGCAAGTGGACAAACAAGAGTTCGAGTTATTTGTAAACTCGATTCTTTCCTTCCTAATATTATATTAATATCAACGTATCAATCAACGACATCAAACAAATTCAAGTTGCTCACATTTTTCTTACGAATACCAAACTTCCGACAAACACAGCAACGAGTTTCGAAACAATATTTCCTGTTACATTTAAGAAAAAAAAAAAAAAAGAACAGATTTGAATTATCACAAAGTTGTCAACTTCTCATCAAAAACTTATCTTACGAAAATTCATTCCAACTCTCCTTGCTTGAATCACGCGAATCGAACATCCTCTCAATATACAAAACATTGAAAATGACCGAATGATGGATTCGAATAAAACGTAATATTCGAAACTGTTCGAATTATTTATCGATCATCATTTCACAAACTTCACTTACGATTCGCGCAACCGATATGAAGAATCGCGAAAACTTGGAAACGTTTCTTGGGCGGAAATATTAATTACGCGAGAAGGGAGGCTTTCTATCGGCGATAAGTTGCCTGGTTCGGGCAACTTTCGTGTCATTTTCAACGAGGCCACTTAGTCAACGAAAAGAAATTGGTTTGCACGAAGATCTGCGGGCCTTTCGCCAATGGGGAAACTTTTTTAATGGAGTAACTTGGAGCCCAATGTCGATGCCGTACAGCAACGGAGGAATCGGCTCGGGGATTATAAAGACACGTGAAGACGTTTCAGAAACTTTCACCCCCTTCCAGAAGGGGAGGGGAGGAAGTGCCGCCCAGTGGAATCATCCATCCCGATGGGAAACTTTTCATTTTGTTGTGCCAATATAATTTAATTCCACCAGGTTTTCGACCAGTTTC